GCAGTGGCCGGGAGCGGCCACTGCACTCCAGTCTAGGCGACAGAGTGAGACTCCAACTCAAAAAAAACCAAAAAACAAAAACAAAAACAAATTCCTGGGCTCTTTATTAAAAAATAAATGCTTAGGTCACAAAATCAATCTAAGGGTAGCAGCCCAAAAACTATCTATATGAACAGCCAATTCGGGGGTCATGAAGGAACTTTCTTAAAACTAAAGTTCACATCCTCTAGCAATTTATCAAATCAATTCAATAAGTTGAAATCAGTATTTTAAAAAAGAGATAGTGGCTAGACACCATGATTCACACCTGTAATTCCAGTACTTTGGAAGGCTGAGGTAGGAGAATGGAGGAGGGAGACCTGCTTAAGCCCATAAGATTGAGACCAGTCTGGGCAACAAAGTGAGACATTGTTTCTAAAAAATAATTAAAGCCGGGCTCGGTGGCTCAGCCTGTAATCCCGTGCCTTTGGGAGGCTGATGTGAGTGGATTGCCTGAGCCCGCGGGTTCGAGACCCGCCTGGGCAGGCGAGACCTCATCTCTACAATAAATCAAAAAATTAGCCGGGCGTGGTAGTATGCGCCTGTAATTCCGGCTACTCGGAAAGCTGAGGCGGAAGGATCGCCGGAGCCCAGCAGGTCGAGGCTGCGGTGGCCGGGAGCGGCTACTGCACTCCAGTCTGGGCGACAGAGTGAGACTCCAACTAAAAAAAATTAAAAAAATAATAATAATAATTAAGAGGCTGGATGTGGTGGCTCATGTCTGTAATCCCAGCACTTTGGGAGGCAGAGGTGAGAGGATTGCCTGAGTCCAGGGGTTCGAGACCAGCCTGGGCAACTGGACGAGACCTCATCTCTGCAACAAATGAAAAAATTAGCTGGGCATGGTGGTGCATGCCTGTAGTTCCAGCTACTTGGAGGGCTGAGGCAGAAGGACCGCCTGAGCCCAGCAGGTCAAGGCTGTGGTGGCCGGGAAAGTGACACTGTCCTCCGACCTGGATGACAGAGTGAGACTCCACCTAAAAAAAAAAAAAATTAAAAATCTAGTCAGGCATGGTGGCACATGCCTGTAGTCTAAGCTACTCAGAAGGCTGAGGGGGAAGATTGCCAGAGCCCAGGAGATAGAGGTAGCAGTGAGCCATCATCATGCTACTGCACTCCAACCTGGGTGACAAAGTGAGACTCTGACTTAAAAAAAAAAGAGAGAGAGAGAGAGAGAAAGAAAGAAATAGAACTAAACAGAAGATGGCAGGCTGCATTCTCTTTAATAAAACTTTAAAATTGATTTATAAGACTAACAGTTATATAAAAGATTTTTGTGTGTGTGTGTAGTGGGTCATGTTATAAAACTTATTTCTTGTCATCAAAGGCTGTCAAAAATATTTGAAAGTCATTGCACTTGGCTGGGCTCGGTGGCTCAGCCTGTAATCCCGCGCTTTGGGAGGCCGAGGTGAGTGAATTGCCTGAGCCAGTGGGTTTGAGACCTGCCTGGGCAACTTGGCGAGACCTCATCTCTACAACAAATAAAAAAAAATTAGCCAGGTGTAGTAGCGCACGCCTATAGTTCCAGCTACTTGAAAGGCTGAGGCGGAAGGATCACCGGAGGCCAGCAGGTCAAGGCTGTGTTGGCCGGGAGCATGCCACTGCACTCCAGTCTGGGTGACAGAGTGAGACTCCAACTCAAAAAAAAAAAAAGTCATTGCACTCAACAAAAGCCACTCACTATTTGTCAGTTTTGTGGTACTGGCTGAAGCAATGAGGTGCCCATTTAGAGTCCACAGAATAGGCACAATAATAGAATAGGCAAATCCTCCTCCTTTTGCCTATAATAATTATTTTTGGCCTTTAATGTACAACTCCAAACAAAAGGATCTACTCTTTTTTTGGTTTTTTTTTTGAGTTGGAGTCTCACTCTGTTGCCCAGACTGGAGTGCAGTGGCTGCTTCCGGCCACCGCAGCCTCGACCTAATGGGCTCTGGCGATCCTTCTGCCTCAGCCTCCCAAGTAGCCGGAACTGCCGGCCGCTACTACGTCCGACTGATTTTTTGATTTATTATAGAGATGATGTCTCGCTGCCCAGGCGGGTCTTGAACCCATGGGCTCAGGCAATCCACTCACCTCAGCCTCTCAAAGGTGCAGGATTATGGGAAGGATCTACTCTTAATAGGGAAAAATCTATGTAGTTTCTGTGAACACTAATTCATATTCTCATTTCAAGCAGCTAAAAGATGGAACAGGCCAGGTATGGTGGCTCGTGTCTTTAATCCCAGCACTTTGGGAGGCAAGAGGAGTGCCTGAGCCCAGGGGTTTGAGACCAGCCTGGGCAACTTGGCAAGACCTCATCTCTACAACAAATCAAAAAAATTAGCCGGGTGTGGTGGTGTGTGCCTGTAATTCCAGCTACTTAGAAGGTTGAGGTGAAAGGATAGCCTGAGCCCAGCAGGTCAAGGCTATGGTGGTCACAAGCAAGCCACTGCACTCCAGCCTAGGAGACACAGTGAAACTCTAACTCAAAGTAAACAAACAAACAAACAAACAAATAAATAAATAAATGCAAAACACACAAAACAAGGCCGGGCTCGTGGTTCAGCCTGTAATCCCAGCACTTTGGGAGGCCAAGGTGAGTGGATTGCCTGAGCCCGCAGGTTCGAGACCCACCTGGGCAACTTGGCAGGACCTCATCTCTACAATAAATTAAAAAAAAATTAGCTGGGCGTGGCAGTGCGCGCCTGTAGTTCCAGCTACTTGGAAGGCTGAGGCTGAAGGATCGCTGGAGCCCAGCAGGTCAAGGCTGCAGTGGCCAGGAGAGTGCCACTGCACTCCAGTCTGGGCGACAGAGTGAGACTCCAACTCAAAAAAAAAAAAAATACACAAAACAAAATCTAGAAATCTCTTATTTAGGTAAAAATCTTCAGCATGGCCAAGCATGGTAGCCCACACCTATAATCCTAGCACTTTGGGAGGTTGAGGTGGGAGGATCACTTGAGGCCAGGAGTTCCAGACCAGTTTAAGTAATATAGTGAGAACTTCTCTCTATAAAAAAAAAAATCAAAACATTAGCTGGGCGTGGTGGCATGTGCCCACACTTCCAGCTACTTGAGAGGCTGAGGCAGAAGGATCGCCTGAGCCTAGAAGGTCAAGGCTGCCGTGAGTCATGATTGTGTCACTGCATTCCAGCCCAGGCAACAAGAGTGAGAGTATGATTTAAAAAAAAAAAAAAAAGAAAAGAAATTTCTGCCTTAAGGTTTTTTTATTATTGAATTTGAAATTACTTCGTTTTCAGGAGTGATTTAAAGATTACAGTATGTGTAAAGTATTTTAAAGACTGACTATATAATGTCAAAAGTACACTTTCTGAGGGTGCCCAATCTCCACAACTGAGTCATCCAAAACAAACTTGAAGGAACAGAAAAACATGTGATTCCAGGCAAATCGGCATATAAATTTTAAAGAAGTCCAGGAACAAAGCTGAGAAACCAACAGATACTGTAGAGCCTTTTGTGAGTTGACTAAGTAGTAGTTTCAGATTGTGCTTTATGAAACTTGCAATCCTCCAAGCATCCTTCTAGTTCCTTGAGGTACTGTTGTCAGCTCCAAAAAATACCTTACTCATCTCTTCTGATCACAAAATTCTTTTTTTTTTTTTTTGAGTTGAGTGCAGTGGCCACTTCCAGCCACCGCAGCCTCGACCTACTGGGCTCCAGCGATCCTTTCGCCTCAGCCTTCCAAGTAGCCAGAATTACAGGCATGCGCTACCACGCCCGGCTGATTTTTTGATTTATTGTAGAGATGAGGTCTCGCTGCCCAGGCGGGTCTTGAACCCGCGGGCTCAGGCAATCCACTCACCTCAGCCTCCCAAAGGCGCAGGATTACAGGCTGAGCCACCGAGCCCGGCTTGATCACAAAAATTTTGTCCAAACATTTAAAGAAGAATTAACACCAATCCATTTGAAACTCTTGCAAAAAGAAAGAAGGATGGCTGGGTATAGTAGTTCACCCCTGTAATCTCAGCACTTTGGAAGGCGGAGGCGAGAGGATTGCCTGAGCTCAGGGGTTCAAGAACAGCCTGAGTAACATGGCAAGACCTCATCTCTACAATAAATTAAAAACAACAACAACAAAAAGGCTGGGTGTGATGGCACATGCTTGTGGTTCCAGCTACTTGGAAGGCTAAGGCAGAAGGATCACCCAAGTCCAGCAGGTTTGGTGGCCAAGAGCAAACCACTGCACTCCAGCCTGGGTGATAGAGTGAGACTCCGACTCATTTAAAAAAAAAAAAAGAGGGAACATTTCCTAACTCATCCTGAGGCCGGCATTATCCTGATACTACAAGAAAAGAAAGCTGGGCATGGTGGCTCACATCTGTTATACCAGCACTTTAGGAGGCTGAGGCAGGAGGATCACTTGAACCCAGGAGTTTGGAGTTTGAGACCAGCCTGGGCAACACAGCGAGACTCCCCCAATTCAACAAAAGAAAAA